CCCAAGTGTTTCCCGATGGGTTTCTACAACGGTTGGGGGAACACATGGCCCGATGCTTTGGCAGAGCTCTTGCCACAACGCTCGGCCACATGGGCGATTCCAAACGGCAGGGGGCGGCGGTGACTCGTCGTAGGCGTCGTCGATCCACCGCCCCCTGTTGGCTTGCCACAGGGGCGCCCGGCGTGCTTGATCCTTTCGGCTTGGCTGTTGGCTCTTTTTCCCAAAGAACTCTCTCCCCTGGGGCTCCAGCCCAGCCCGCCAGCCACCCAGAAAGGACCATAATAGGTGGTTGCAACGGTTGTTCCTGTTCCAGACGGCTCCAAGATGGCCCAAGCTGGTCTCCAAGACGGCTCAGATGGCCCGAGGTGGTTTCTAAGCTCGCCCACGATGGTCCAAGATGGCCTCCATGATGGCCCAGGACCCAGGAGGGTCCAAGATGCCTCCAAGTCGGCCCAAGAAGCCTCTAAGACGGCCCCAAAGGCCTCCCAAGAGGGCTCCAAGACGGCCCAAGAGGGCTCTCAGAGGTACTCTAGGATGGCCCGAAGAGGTGAAAATCACTGATTCCCCTTAGGTGTTTCAAACATTTTCGTATTTGCTCCTGTTCGGCTTTCCGACGGCCCAAGAGCCCCCCAAAGGTCGCCCCAAAATCGGCTCTCTTGGGGGGCCTCTTGGAGGCCTCTTGAGGCGTCCTGGGGGCCTCTTGGTCCATCTTGAGGTTGTCTTGGGCGTCTTGGACCGATCTGTCGGCGATTCCTCGCCCTCGGGGACCATCGTGCGGACCACTTTGAGGCCGCCTGTGCCGCCCCCGGAGACGCGTTTGCCGACATGGGGCTAACTCCTGCCGAGACTGGGCCGGGCGAAAGGGGGGGAATAGCGAAGGGGGGGATTGAGAATCAGCTCAAGCAGCTGATTCTCCCGGCGTCCCCTGGCGCCGGGAGGCGGCCATGTATCGAGGGATGGGCCCAACGGCGGGGCCGACACCAGCTGCATGCGGCAGATTTCGTACCCCCCCCCTTCCCCATCCCCCATATCGTTCGGCCCCAGCGAGGGCTGTCAGGCTCCGGAGACCAGGACACGGATAAACCAGGACGTGGAAAGCCAAGAAAACGACACCGTTTCCTGCAAAATCACGTGTTCCATCACCCGTGCATCTTCTGTTTGCTGCACTGGAGGGGTCGGGTTTGTGTCCGGGTTTCGTGGGGGGGGGTCTTGCAGGGTTTCAGGGCTCGTGTCCAGGTTCATTCTGGGAGTGCTGGAGGAGGAGGAGGAGGAGGAGGGGGAGGGGGAGGAGGAGGAGGAGGAGGAGGAGGAGGAGGAGGAGGAGGAGGAGAGGAGGAGGAGGAGGAGGAGGAGGAGGAGGAGGAGCAGGAGAAGGAGTAGGAGGAGGGGGAGGAGGAGGAGGGGGAGGAGGAGGAGGGGGAGGAGGGGGAGGAGCAGGAGGAGAAAGACCGTCGTCTGGGAACAGTGGCTTTGAGGGATGTTGGGTGTCGTTTCCCTCCCCCCCCCGTTCGCTCGTCCCGCCCAGAGCGGCCGCCGTCTGCCCGGCTCCTGCCGGCGTTCGCGCCCTTTGGCCAGGGGCCAGATCCAGGGGGCCTCCCCCCCAGACCCCCCCCGTGGTGGGACTCCCCTCCTACCCCCAGTGGTGGGACATCTCCCCGACCTCCACCCGGAGGGAGGCCGAATCCTCGATTCGGGGATCTTTTGACAGGGCCAACCTAAACCCAGGTCAGTTGGGCTTTGCAGGATCTTGCAAGATCTTGCACGCAAGCCCAGGTCAATGTGCCCCTGGTTCTGCAGGATCTTGCAAGATTTGGCGCTTTGTTTGACCCCCGTTTGCATCGACCCCCGTCACTTGGACCCCCCCAGGGGAACATCAAGCGTAGGTCGGGCCTGTCCCCCTACAGGGGGATTCTGGACGAAAACTAAAAGACAGTCAAACAAACAGTCGAACATGGTCTAAACATAAGAATCAAAAAATCGTCCTCTGACTTCTTTTGACTACTCTTGAATACTCCTCCTGTAGAGGGACAAGCCCGACTTACACACTAAACGGGAACCCCTCAAGGTCGGGGATAAACCGTCATGACACACACACACACTTTCGAAGGTCGGCGCGGGTTCCCTGGCTCGGCGCGCGGAGCGCGCCAAGAGCGCCGTTCCGGGCGTTCCGCTGCGCAAACTTCTGTTCGTGCCGTTGCTGGCACTCCTGCCTGAAGCCGTCAGGTGGCAGACCATGTGGACTCCCTCTGATGGGCCTGTCTTCCACCAGCACCACCACCATAAGTTGGAGGGGGGAAGGAGGTGGAGGACGAGGAGGAGGACGAGGAAGAGGATTCTCCCGCTCGCGCGCTAGCGAGCTGTCTCCGAGCGCGGCCGCGGCTCGCGCGCGCGGGGCGGCCCAAAATGGGCAGGCCCGTCCCGCGCGCTCGTGCCGGGGCGCCGCGCGTCAGGCGGGGGAGACCGCCTGCTCGCCGACGACGGCGAGGCAGCGCCCATCAGCCTTAGATTGGGAGAGGAGGGAGGGGGGCAGAGAAGCTGCGGAGACAGCAGGAGCTTGCTCACAGAGAATAGAAGAGGCATTCTCCCGCTCGCGCGCTAGCGAGCTGTCTCCGAGCGCGGCCGCGGCTCGCGCGCGCGGGGCGGCCCAAAATGGGCAGGCCCGTCCCGCGCGCTCGTGCCGGGGCGCCGCGCGTCAGGCGGGGGAGACCGCCTGCTCGCCGACGACGGCGAGGCAGCCATACCCGTGCTCAAGGACCTTGCGAAGTGACAAGGTTTCGGCGGGCGGCCGCAAGTAGGGCAGGCCAAGCGGCGGGGCCGACTTGGAGAAATGAAGCGACAAGGCGGTCGCTGGCGGTGGCGAAGAACAGGATCCGCGCCCGTGCGGGCACGGGCAGCGCAGCAAGAACTGTGGAAGCGGCGGCGGCTTGCAGGTAGCGCTCAGCACTGGAAGCCTGACGCCAACGCCCCCGCCAGAAGACGCGAGGGACGTCTTCCGTAGCGATATAGAAGTCTGTTGCGCCAGAGCCCCGCAGACATGCGGGCGTCAGGTTGAGCCCCTGACCCGCTTTGGCAAGAGGGACGCCCAGGGCCGAAAGCAAATGATTCCACCGAGTACGGAAGCCGCTCGCACCGAAAGGGGCGAGAGGATCGGTGGAAGCCAACCGCCCAAACACTTGATTCAGAATCTTCACCGTGCCCCGATCGGAGCAGCGAGCATGCTGCGTCGGGTACGTTCTCCTGGTCTTTGGAACAAGAATCGAAAGAAAAGCATCCCCTTCAACTTCGAGGCGGTCGCAAGGAAGCGACAAGTCACAGCGGCGTGACGCCAGCAGCTCGCCAGGCCTGAGGAACATCGTAAAGCCCATGAGCAGCAAGGCCGCCATCACAGGCCAGTCCCAGGCGAAACAGAGACCGACCATAGCGCGCAGCAGAGCGCGAGGTAAGGGCGGGCGGAGCTTTGGCGGCTCCGCGAGCTTCCATTGTTTCGCTACGTCCCAAGCTTCTGTTAGAAAGGCCTTCCAATGCGGATGAGCGCTCTGGATTCCCAAGATGGCATGAACCAGAATATAATGAGGGAAACCTG